ATCGGTCACGTAGATACTTCAAGGGAAGGATTCAAAAACAACTTCAGAGTACACCAGAGTGAATGCCAATTACCCTTAAATTGATTACACTTGAACTTCATTCTCATCGCAAGAGTTTGATACAAAAGCGTCATGGTTCAATCATTTTTGGCGCAAAATGATATTTTTCTGAAAGAATGGAGTATTTCGAGATTGTTAGTGCAGTTTAATAGTGATCTATTGGTAATTAAGCATTTTATGGGCAGTTAACTAGCCTTGGGGTGGTTTGAATTTTGGCCAAGTATTTGTATTGTGAACTTAAGATTTTCACATTTAAATGACGACATCACTTGTGATCTATATAACTGAACCTCCAAGGAGCCGAGGAAGCCTCTTTGTACTGATTACAGTGTTTGATTGACAAAAGTCACTGGACCATGACACTAAAATTTGGCTAATTTGTTGCAAAAATTGCAGAATGGCAAGTGATTTTAGACGGTCATATCTTTCACCATGAGTACTTTCTGGGCATAAATACAGTGTTTTTTATTAAAACAATATGTTTTCTTTCATGTGAAGTACCCAGATGATGATAAAAATATCAATCGAACAATTCGAAAAATTATGAACATTTTTATGAACATTTTTTTCAAAATATTGAACCTATTTAGTCAAAAGAGGATCTCCCTTTTCTGATTTTTATTGCATGAAAAGATTATTCAATAAGGGGTCTAAAATATCTTCAAAAATATAATTGTATCGAAAGTCTAGTTTTGAATATATCAATTTTCGATGACCAAAATGATGCTGAAAACAATGGGTAGCACAAGTTTTCCCTATGGGAAAATAACATGGGATATGTGGTTTTGAACTTTAACGTATTTCAATATGCATCCCCTTTTCAGAAATTGTTCACATAGTGTAGAAAAAACTTTTGATGTGTTTAAATTGAGAAAAGCAAGATCCTCTTTTTAGAAAATAAGCCTAACACTTTTTAAAGAGTACCAGGGTGGGGCCCTAATCCATACTTTTTCAGAGAGTTGGATTGATATTTTACTATCATGGGGACTTCACTTGAAAGAAAACATATTGTTTTAATAAAAACCACTGTATTTATGGCCAGAAAGTACTCATGGTGAAAAGTATGACTGTCTAAAGTCACTTGCCATACTGCACGAGGTCCTTGGTCAGTGTTTCAGTGGTTTCCTATCATTAACTTCTTTTCAGATCAAAATAACTGACAAAATTTGACCAATTAGATACCCTTCTTCAAATTTTAGCCGATTGTAGGCTCATTTAATCAAATTCAGCCATATATTTAGTTCAAATATGATAACATATCTCAGAAAAATTGGCGTGAGCAATTCTGACATCTAAAACTGTTACAATACATCCTTTATCAGGCAAAATTTGGCAAAATTATTCAACGTTTACCCAACGCAGATTGCAGGCCTTCACAGAATGACATTTCAGGCAACTTTCAGAAGGTTAATGCCTAAACGGTGCCTAATAATCGTCAAGACCCATAATTTCAAAGTTAGAAATCGAAAAGTGCTGATTCAGCACAATTTTATAGTTTCCCCTTTTCACATCCTTATGAACATTTCACGCCACAAAACCCTTATTCTGAGAAGTTTTGAGCCAAGTTATAGCAGTTTTAGTGATTTCTCATGTTGCTAATAGGGTTAATTCCACAGACAAATGCTCTTATACAATCCAATGGGGAAACATTGGAATCTTCGGAATAATTATGAAAAAACGAGGATTTTCGGTGCATAACCCAATATACCACGATATGGCTCCATATGTCCCCTTTAAAACTAAAAATATTTTTGCATAGAAAGGACATTAAAATAAAATAAGATATGACCGCTTTTTCCGCCATCTATCCGAATTTTGAACGATTTTCAATAGATTTCAAACTCAAGACCACCATCACAAAATGTCAAATATTTGAAGTTAACCGAATCATTTCGTCATACTTTTTTCTAAAAACATATATACACAAGGTAAACAAAATAAAATATAAAGTTTGTTCATTTACACTGGTGATCGCACTGATAAATATTGATTTCAATCAACTATCAACTCGATTTTAAATTTAGATTTTTTGTAACCTTTTCACTAGCGCCTTGTGTGGAGTAAACCCTAATAGTGTATTTTTATAAAGGCAAAACTGCCCTTATTTACGTCACAATACTAGTCAATGGGCAAAAGGGCAAACGCCTGACTTTATATGTCGAGTTATGGATTTATGCGGCCTCACTGGCCTATCTGAGGTTCTAAAGCTATGTCTAAGCTACACTTTGACAAAAAAACGCGTTTTTCCAATTTACTAGAGTTTTTCAAGAAGTTTTGTGCAGTTTAAGATTTTTCTGACAGCAATTGTGAAAAATATGGCTACTTCATTACCCCTGGGGTCATTTTTCCAAGAACCCAATGGTTTTCCTTTAAATTTGACTAGTTTTTCATTTACATCATGAAATCCATTGCCTGATGGTGACATTTTACATTATCGTGTCAAGATATTGAGTATTTTATTGCATATTGCGATTTTTAGCCAAAATCACTGAACCGTGAACCAGAAAATTGGGCAAATTTGGCCTACTTTTTGGCAAAATCTTAGTAAAATTATCACTTTTTCATACTTTATTCCATTCAACAACCTCATGATTTGAAAAATGATGACAAATTTGATCATTAAGAGTGAACAAATACATCAAAAATTGACACTTAACTCACCAATCTCTGACTGCACCCCCAATATGTACCTTCATTCTTTACTGGAAACCATAAGATGGAAAATTCAATCTTTATTATGAATAGCAACTCATTGGCTTCCCCATTTACGACAACATATGACATTTAGGGGTCATTAAGGACGAAATTGTAGCCAAATATCGTCAAAATCGGTGGTTTTTGGGGTAAAAAGCGAAAACTGCTGATTCAGCAAAAACTTTAAATTTGTTCATGAAAATTCCCCTTTTTGCCTCCGTCCAGAACATGTTTCACACTAATAAACTTCAATTCTGGGCGATTCTGAGTAGTTTTAAAAAATTTGGGTCACTTTCACATGTGACTAATAGGCCCTTATTCACGTCACCATACTAGTCAATGGGCAAAAGGGCAAACGCCTGACTTTTTATCTCGAGTTATGGATTTATGTGGCCTCACTCAATAGGGGCCAAACATCTACTTTTTGAAATAATTGGTCAATTGTGACACTACCCCCTCTCTCTGCCGAGACAAATTAAAATTCACAAAAATAAAGGCAAAATTAATGCGCCACTTGACTCGAAATTTTCCTTCAGATAACCCAAATAAACGCATTTTCAGAAAAAATGGCATATTGTCATTGCAAAAAGATGACAACTGTGCCTACATACTAGCTTACTGACTCGTCATGATCACAATTGTGTTGGGACTACATTTATTTTTGAATACTACTTTTTTCTATTCAGCGGAAGTGACGTATTAGGGCATTTTGGCCAAAGAGAGCTCCATCTAATATTCCATGGTATGACTCCGGAATATGAAGAATTCGTAACACAATATAGTGCAGCAAAATTTGAACCAATATTTAAGGAGGTCCATATGTCACTTAAAATGATGCCGTTTGCTGACAAAACTGGCTTTTGGATCGAAATATGCCTCTCATTACAAGGGGTCGAAAAACGTAAATATTTTCATTCGAATCACTTTACATATTTTATAAGACTCAAAAGAGATATCTGCAATCAAATGCCTTACATTCCTCTTTCGACGTTACTGCTGCATATCATCAGATTTTATGATGGTAATATATTCTTAGACATTACTGCTGGTTATCAAAACCACTTTTTCTCAAAGCTTTTTGAATTCGACCAAGTCTTGGTGGTTGTTGTAATGTCTAAACAACTGAGCATTATCTTACTGGGGGGAAATAATTTTAATTTTAGCCGAAGCCACAGTAAGTCAATGAAGAAGAATGCGCCCCCCCCCCCCCTTTATTGATAGTTGACCCCTGACGGTGACAGTCCATATCTCAAAACGTATTAAGACCCATTTTTCGGAAAACTACAATAATTTTAGCATATTTCATCTTTATATAAAAACGATTCATTGATACCATTTACATCTCCAATATCGAAAAAATAATTCAAACTGTTGATGTGCTGATTACGTAATTTCTTTGTATTTATAAGAAAAATAACATGAAATTTATAGTTGAGAAACCTAAATCATACACTCAAAATTTATTTCATATAATTTTCTATAGGGTCTGTAGCAGTATGTACACCAAGTTGTAAAAAGGAGGATTAAGTTTTTACTAGAGTATTTTTCACTCCTGCTAATCACTCGCATAATTCAGCCCAAAAGCCCGAAGAATATTAAACGCCGACCGTCTATAATAAATAGCAATACTGGACATGTGTTGGTATGTAAATATCAGGTCAAATATCGCTGCACTTTATTGTGTTACCAGATCCTTCATTAGGCGTCCTAGGAATTTCAAACCATGGACTATAATTACTTCTGGCTTCCTAGCATTAGGGTAACTCTCGTTATCAATTCAACTGTACTACCAAATAAAATGTGTGATCTTTTAATTTGCTTTTGCAAGTTTTGGAAAACCCGTTTTGAAACGAAAATGACGTCTGGTTGGCAGATATTATAATAAATCCGAACTTATGATATACCAAATTTAAGATAAGTAAATTTTCTATACAGTGGTATATAATATGATATGTTTTCATCAAGAAAATCAATATTTATTTTTGAAATACGAGTGTCCCATTTTTTGGACCACCCTATAACTAATTTTAACTTTTTTATGACTTAAAAGTAAAGAAAAAAGTTTTACAAAGTTGCGCTTGTCTTTAAAACCTCTAGAGATCAGACTTACAGTGAAAGAGTTAAAGACAATTTATGCACCTTCTGCTAGAATCCTTACCAGTGTACGGTATTGCATTACAAGTCCCTACATATTTTATTGACACGACCTTTGCCCTTGTGAGTTCTGTGTTCTAGTACCTATACTTGTCATACTAGGGTGTTAATAATAACAGAACTAGCCAGATAAGATTGCGGCTATTATATACTGATATTGGATAAGGGAATCTTATATGTTATAAGATCTATTGAATTCACTTATACTCATACTGGATTTTGCATTCTATAAAAAGGGTACCGTATATAGGATATTGGAGTCAGATCCGTTAGAATTAACATTTGGATGATGGTGCTCCTCGCAAAATGCACAATTTTGTGCGTTCTTTTTGGTAAGTTAAGTTTATGGGTCATGATTATAAATAACAAACAAGAAAATTGCCACTGCAGCTCAGTGCGATTCTGTAAATAGAACATAACAATGCCAAAAAGAACAAAAACACTGCCACATTTTAGAGTTATATTGCGATGGAGTGAATATACGTTTTCCTTATAGTCTGATAGGGTAAATAAATAGAACTGACTGTTAAAGGGTGGGTTTACCTTTTCTTATGAAACCCGAGCAACAAACTTTCGATTTCAAAATGACGAATGTTGTATTTCATTTACAGTAACTCCTTCCATTCATACACCTAAGTTCCACTGACTTTGAGCATCGAAAGGTAAAATGTTGGATTGGGTGAATTTTTAGGAAGAAATGTGTTCGCTTAGGAGACCACTTACTAAAAGATTTCTTAGCGATTTTTATAAACTGGTGGATCCAGAAGCTGACAAGGGGGGGGCAAAAAAGCCAAGTAATGACCAAAAAAGGCCCACTAATTGAGACCCCACAACATTTTTGGGCACTACATTTTTAGGCCCAACATTTTTTCTGCCCACCCCCAAGCTAACGCAGCCAGTATTCTTTTTGAAATAAAATTGATAAACGCTCAACAATTTCAACTTATATCCAATAACTCTATTGTTCGAAAGAAGGAATTCATTGTGAGCTGGACAACCCACTTAAAAATTGGCCCCGTTTTCAAAAATGTGTGCACCAACATAAAGCAACAAGCACTTTCACGAACAACCTCCAGTCTAATTTAGTCAACAAATGCAGTCTGCCGAAGTTGACGAAAACAGACATCTTTCGACAGATTCGACATTTAAGTTGTAAATATGAAACGTGAATTGAGAGCCCATGAGAACTTGAGTATCAAAATGAGTTTAAGACAAAATATTCATATTCTTTAGGTAAATTGAACAATAGCGACAAATCAGTTATTTCATTAAATTTACGAGGGAAAATTCAAGATGATGGTGTGTGCCGACAAACCCCTCTGGCGACGGCCATGTGTTTGCTCTAGTATAAAACTAAAGTTTTTGTATCCTCATATGACACAGAATTCGGATTTCAATTCTTTCATACTAAGGTTTGATCAAGTCAAGTGGCTTTCAGTCCAATGATTCGAAGTATTATAAGTCCAATAAATCTTAGGTATCTAAATCTGAGGTAAACCCAAACTTGGACGTGACTCAATTTGAAAATAATATGTTTTTATATATTCCAGAACTTTTGTCCAATAAATCTTGTTTCTAACCCATATACAAACCTCATCTCTCTGAAATTATGTTTTATATACATAATATATCGTGTTGTTCATAGAAATTCAGTGAAATTTTGTTGAAAATCTTCAAAGAGTTCTATTCTATGTGGGTGTTCGATTTATTGAGGTTCGGCAAATCGTGGGAAAGTCACGTGTTCAACTTGTGCTCCACTTACGGAATTGTATATTCCGCTTGACATAGTTTGTTCCAATCGTCTGTTGATAAATATTCAACCTTTTCAGTTGGAGCTTTGAGCTGCCCATTTGCATTCGATGATGATGCTATGACAGTTAATGATGCTGATACAGAGGCCACTCACAGACGTGTTAGACGCGACTTGACAGTTGATGGCACAAGGCCGCTTTGTAAAGAGTCTGGAGGGGTAAGAAATAAGACCTGAATTCATATGCTAAGGGACCGGCCATTTCAAATGGCTGGGTCTAGTGTTGTTAAATATGGGACGAATATTCACCTGAAATGAACAATGAGTTCAAAATCTTGGTTTCGTGCATGAAACACTGAAAGTTGCATGGAGGAAGTCTTGTTTATATTCTATACACTATACTTTACAAACCCGGTATCATAAGGAAATCATAAGGAAATTGATACGTTGTATATATTAGTTGAATGTTTAGAACTCGAATGGCATACTATATGGTATGACCCTGTTGATATACATATTGTGATTAATCTGGAACATTTTTGATTGTCTAGGTCATACATTTTGCTTTACTAAAATGATTTATATTTTCTAATTTGATATGAAAATACTAATCTGCATTTTGAATATTATTAATTGACATCAACATTGCACAGATACCATATTAAACATAATTAAGTTATCTTTAAACAATTAGATTCTCGTTGAATCTGAAATCTCTTTTATGTACTTTGTATTTTCTACTCATCCTTTTAACGCGTGCTTTTAACATGTATGATGTTGTATGGGTCAATCAATGTGTATTCCCTTCAAATATAACAAGAAGTGTCTTATATCCTCCGAACACAGGAAATTAAAGAAGGAAGAGACAGAATGCATGATATATGGACTCTTGCGTTCATATGAGTTACGTGTTATGTATCATCTCTACAAAACCCATTTTACATTTGCTGAAACTTTCTAAAGATATTCGATCATGTGATACTCCTCATTTATTCATTCTGGTGATTCATGACATATCACTGCATCTTACTTTCTTATTGTAATCATATATTGCACTTCGTGTGATGTTTGGCTCACATTTAGTTTCATCTTATCATGTTACAAGGACATGGTACACTCCCCACAAAGGCTTGACAAACCTCCTTTTCAATCTCTTGCTGATCCTCATGTGTAAAAGCATCTTTGGCGATTCTATTAAATTCATCAGTACTTCATTTCATCCTGATTTACTGCATTAAGGAAACCAATCATAATTCAAACATAAACTTGCTTTACAATCAGGTCATACGTTTGCTCAACTTTTGCCGGGAAGTGTATATATTGCCATGCTGTTTTGTGGATATCTTTGAGTGACTTCTTACATGTATAGATTCCGATATACATCCACACTTGTGTAAGCCCAAGCAGTTATTTAGCCTGTTTATCTTATTAATTATTAACCTGTATACATCATTGGAAAACATTTTATAACATTGTCAGTCCCTATCAGATTCGTATTTTGCTAAACGAAATCAAATAGACTCTGCCTCTGAGCCATAGCGGGTGGACTATAGCTCCTGTAAATGGTTAGTTGTAAAACACGATGCCTTGGACACCTGCTCAAAAGACAGTTGTACTAGGAAAATATGAAAAACGCAGTCAGGGGTGACTGCAACCTCGAAAAAATTAAATAACTTTCTAACCATAGTGTTTTGGCTCTTCAAATTTGGCACAAATCATCTTCATTCACTGTATGGTAAATCTGAAGAGTGAAATCAAAATCACTTCAGGGACTTTACAGTCATGGTTGAAATGCTTTCAAATCGCAGTCAAACGCCCTGGTTCAGGGAGACTTAAGAACGCATTTTGACCAGGACTGTAAAGTCCCTGGAGTGATTTTAATGAAACTCCACAAATTCAACACACATTGAATGAGGATAATTTGTGCTAAATCTGAAGTGCCAAAACACCATGGTTAGAAACTTATTTGGTTTTATTGCTGTGGCAGTCACCTCTGACTACGTTTTCATATTTTCCAAGAACAACTGTCATTTGAGCAGGTGTCCAAGGCATCATGTTTTACAACTTACTGACAACAGGAGCTATACACAGTCTCTTCTTTCTTTTCCTGAAAAAATGAACATAATTGAATTAGTATTTTCCAAGATATAGTGATTTTCCATTCGCGTTTTTCGTATTTTGCTAGTACAACTGTTTTTTGAGTAAGTGTCAAAGACATCATGTTTTACAACTAATTAACAAGAGGGGCTATACATACACAGTCTCTTCTTTCTTTCCTGAAAATATGAACATAATTGGTTAAGTATTTTCCAAGATATAGCGATTTCCTTGGGTTGCGTTTTTTTAACACCCTGTATATGTCATATAGGATGATAAATACATTTTAAAACTTACAAATGGTTTGCATTTGGACGTTATATTACATCCGACATTTTGAGATTTTTTACTAATATCCTTCGTTATGTAACACCTTGTATATTCATTTACAATAACAAGTTTACGTGCAAGTTGACCAAATAACTTATAAATATCGAAAGCTCTTTATTAAGTTATGTTGATCGTTATGTGAACGTTTTATCAACAGTTAATATGACAATAAATCTTCCTGAGTTCTATCTCTGAGTTATTTATTGGCTCTTGATAAACCTTGACTTGATCATTAGTACCATGATACATACCTCATCGAACGTTGGATACTTGAAAAGATTTCGACGTGTTTTGGGAATCCATAGCAAAGACGACTGAGCTGTGAAACAATCATTTCGATCATTTTGCTAGATATTTTAGCATCGACTTGCTCTAAAATACTTAGATTTTTTGTTAATGATTTATTTCCAAAAATATATATAAATATAACACACATATGTCACGGCTTTTCAAAAGAGCTACAATTGTGTAACGAATTTGAAAAAAGAAAGTTTGACAATGAATTTGTTTGTTATATGCAAAAAAAATTGAGCACAAAATTAATGTTCATATACTGGAAGAAAATCCAAGAGTGTGTACCATTATGATGGAGCTTTGTGAGTTTGATATTAATTCATTTTGGCAAACTACTGACCCCTTACAAAAATGATGACAATTTCTTGCCGGTTTGTAATGGGGTTATGTGGTTAAAATGTCTAGATCATCTGCGAACTAATTCAGAGATCCAACTTGGAGATCATTTCGATAATAGACACTTCACAATAGTCATCGTTTTTAAACCACCTTATGTACATGTGTTTAGTATTTTATAACATTGACATGTCGTTTCTCGTTCGATACTATCAATTCTGATTGCATTGGTAATCAACACCCTTTCATGCATATATAATATATGAATATGAATAATGCATTTAGGGCTATACTGACCGCATTTTCATATGATTATGTCGATTTATTAGTATAAGTGTCTTGCTTATAACGAGTAACAATGGCTTCCATGTATATTAGGAACATTCTTGAAATAATGCAAATGCAAATAAGAATGTAGTACAGATTTCCTTAATGAGACTAATGGGTTACATCTTTAGTCGTATTTAACGCCCATGGGCGATAGGCTGAAAGATCCATGGGCGTTTAAATGAATGTGTTTATTAATCATAAAATATATATGTTATATTGTTCTCTGGAAAATTGACACATACACATTATGCCATGGCAATTTACATGTTTTTGGAAATGAAAAGTGTTACATAATACTCTGGTTTTGGATACTACAATGGTATGAGGGCATTTCATTGCCTCTTGTACATTCTTCTGCATGCATTCTTCAGAATGATCCACCTACAGCCATCGACACTAGGGCGAGGATAGCGGCTTTGAGGGCATTATTCAGCAATTCTACATATACACAACAAGGCATCGATGCATATATCATTCCCATGAACGACCAGCATCAGGTGGGTAACATCAAATTTTGATTCTTGTGTATCATATCATCACTTTATCATAGCTCGGTTTTTATTTTCTATGTTTACTTTAATCTTTCTCGAGTGTCAGTTTACCTGTTTGTTGTACTACTGTGTTTCATGTTATATTCAAGAGATCTTTTATTTAATGTTTGAAATTCTTTTTTAAATATTTGACTGAGTTAGTTCGGGGATTAAAACAATCGATCTTCAAGCTATTGAAAATGTCAACAAGATGTATTTACAATCAACCAAACTAGGCCTACACATGAACATACAAATTTATATGTAAAAACGACATGTCATTCTTAAGCAAAAGTATGACGATTTGAAATCCAAATGCATTCTGATGAGTTCCTTTAATCTCCGATTCTATCAAGGTTTGTATCAGAACCAGTACTTATCAAAAGTATTGATCAAACCATGGGCTGCTATCGGTGGTAGAGCCCATGATCAAACACAGTATTGTTGTGCAACTATTTCGTCAACAATGTACATCATTTACTGCTTTGGAAAATAAACTTAAACTGTTAAATATTGTTAATCCAAGGATGAAAAGGATGGTCACCAACCCATAATTTCTATTTTGAAAATATGAAGTATATACAATTAGCTTGAACGTTTTTGTGGGCTTAGAATAAGTTATACCAAATAATCCTAACTGTATTTTGAGGGGAATTAACATCTGATTATACATGAGATTTAATGAAAGGTGAGCGCCAAGTTATTATTGGGAATAGTTAAATATTATTACAAACAAATCTTACTCTCCGGGGAACATCCTTAAAGCAGCACTATTTGATGAACGGCGCTGCACAATGTTGTTTAGGATCTACAATATATAATTATTCCAACCATGACTGCCATTATATTATACATGTACCAACATTGCAGAGTGAATACGTATCTGAGTATGATAAACGCATTGGATATACGAGCAACTTCCAGGGTTCCTCAGGTATGACGTTGCACGGAAGCAGAAATGCATTATGGGTCATACTTCTCCTCCAAGAATAACAAAATATAACCTACTGTGTGATAGATATGTTAAGAAAGGTTATCTTATCTCTGTGGGACTCGAAAAAATTCAATTGTGGCATAGCTTCAATAGAATTTGTTGACGTTTTCAAGCCAGACAAAACGTTTCTTAGAATTATCGGAAGTGAAGTTGGCATTTACGTTACGCACGCATAGAAGGGTATTATTGAAATAATTTCAACACATTTTATTATGAAAATGTACATTTTGTAATGATTATATCGAAATGTGACATTTTTGGAGGAAAAGTATGATATATATTCTTGACCTTCTTTGGCCCTACTTTTTGACTTCAATCAGATGAACATACTGTCTATTTGTACTAGAATACTCCCTCTATATTGCATATGTTCTAACATCGCATATTGCCATTTATTATATACCCAATATGTAACACTAATCCTGATGAGGTCAATACCTAGTCACGTGTTCCGAAATAGATTTACTATTTCCCTCGGAAAGTTATATTCCCTCAAATGTGACGTCAGCGGGAATATACATTTGAACTATTGCCCGCTGACGTCACAATTGCAAGTTCTATTACCCTTGGAAACGTCTGCGCATCATCACTGCGCAGACGAAAAACAGAAAAATGGAGGATGAGCACAAACACAAATCAACTTCGTTCACCATGACAGACGTGCGTGAACAATACAGTATAAGCAACGTGTATAAAGTTCCCTAAGCTCAATACGTCTGTGTAATTTCAAGTGTTATGATAATCTATTCCGCGTGTTAAACGCGATTGAATTTGTCAAGTGAGAGTCTCAGAGGCAAAAAATTCTGTTGAGCATCTGATGACGTCACAGCTTATAATGCTAACAATGGACCCGGGGAGGGGGCTTTCTATGCCTTTTTTGGCCTTCGCAGAGGAAACGGGACAAGAGTCAGTATAGGGTATATAATAAAACAAATAGTGACTGCCTAATTTCGAGCAATAGTGTAAATGATTTCCCCTTGGGAATATCCTCTACAATGTACTATTCCCTCAGCCTGCGGCTTCGGGAATAGTACATTGTAGAGGATATTCCCTCGGGGAAATAATTTACCCTATTGCCCTCAATGGCAGTCACTATTTGTATAATGTTATATGTTTTATCAGTCTTAAGCTCATCATCAATCTATATATTATGAAAGTGTTCATATCCTTTGAACAGCTTGAGTATTAACAATACGCTGAAGGGCGACAGAAATAATTTCAAATAAAACATTTTAAATATTGGCCAGACACCCATGTCATTTAGTGAGGAGTAAGGGGAGGCATCAAAAGATCAATGTCTGATAGGAAACTAAATAAATCTAGTTAGGGGGGGGGTCAAAGCCATTTCAGTTTGCTATCCGACAAATTTCAACATTTTAATTTTATTGCAATTTTGACTCAGAATGCCTTGGAATGGTTAAAAATAAAGATTTACCCGATGCTTTCTTAATCGAGATGCATGCAACTGGAATATTATGCCTACTGTTGTTGTCATGTTTGAAGAATTCTAAATAAATTATGTTAATGCCCACACGAGAGTGCACGTCCAAGAAAACACGTGAAATCCGCGATCAACTATCATGGTATTTAGTTTTTGGGGGAGGGGGTCTAACTCAAAACTAGATTTATTTAGTTTCCTATTAGACATTGAACTTGTGATGCCTATCCTAAGTAGCTCCTAAAACCTTCATATTTCATTCTAAACCCGATGTGATTCTAGTTTTTATAGACGTATGTTTATCTTGAGATCCTATCTTAGACTTTTCTTTTACCTCTTCTACTTCTTCTATCGAACTATCATTTTAGGGTCGGTCGGAGTTTGCGGCAAGAATCGGATTTATAAGTGGTTACAAGGGGTCGTCAGGTTTGTTGGTGTCGGTGATGGTTGCATTTGGTGACACAAAAACACAATTACTCCATAATTGCTTTCATATACCTACCCTTTCTAAAAGTTTTCCTTTATCTACCTTATACTATGCTCGGATCCTCGGGTTATGATAAAACACAGTTTGGATAATCGCTTAATATCTTATACCTCAGTAAATAATACGTTATCCAAGCTTTGTGCGTTTCCCAACTTTTTATTTGATTCACTTTAAAAGAGAAGTTTATCCGAGAACTATTAACAGAAACTTCAAATAAGAATTCCTAAATCAAATGATGTAACAATACCTTTATATTTGATATAAGTTGTCATTTCGCTTCAAGGAAAAAATAAAGTGTCAAGGATTAGCCTAATATATTTGATCTATGATACCCGAGCTGAATATGTATTTATGATCCCAAGAATCCTGCGTGCTTTAACTTGTATTAAGAATACGGTTATTGGTTATACCTCACCATGAGTTATCATAGTTTAACTTTAAAAATGATACTCAATATCATTTTAGCTTTAATCCTCTCACATACAAAGAACAAACAATTCATAATCTTTTCTATTTTATAAGATTCTAAAATACAAAAAACTAGACATCAAGAGAGAAAAAATACAACATTACAGTAAAAAATGTAGATAAATATAAAATTAAGTTTTTAGAAATAAATCGAAGACTATGAAACAATCTGAACCAGGCATAACTGTGCAGGCAATTTTACATCATAGATTTGAGTATGTCAACATTTTTAAACTACTCTGATAAGAAAATCTATCAAAATGAGAAATTGTCTATATTTTTCAAAAGTGATCTGTTACACTGTGAAGAATCTGATAAAATCTCTGTCCAGTGAGCAAATATTTTTGAATTATGCCAAGTGTTATATCACTATATTATAATGTTATAGGTACAGTTGTGGTCACCAGAACCAAACAAGCTTTATGGACAGACGGTAGATATTTCTTAGCGGCTGACCAAGAGATGGACTGCAGCTGGATTTTGATGCGATCAGGTAAGTCCGTTACAAAAATCTATTAGTTTAATCTGAGACTAACATAATGATGGTCTCAGGCATGGTCCGTTATAGCAGTGTTTCAGCCCATCCCTTACCAATGTGTCTTACCAATGTGTCATAACCATTTGCTCTATTTCGGATAGGGATATGACAGAGCACTTCAAAAAGCTAGATCGAAAGATAAATCCGTTTGATTATTCATACAAAGTGATTACATTTTAATGAACGAAGCTTGAAACATACCAGTATCTAAGATTTTGTTGCCTTCTTGATCGCACACTTACTATCAAACACAACCCAGCGTTGCTGACCCATTCTTCATAATTTCAGGAGAGAGTGGAGTGCCAAGTATTACAAGATGGCTGAGAGACGAAGTACCACAAAATGGACGAGTTGGTGCCGATCCCAGTCTCTTTAGAATAGGTAAGTGTATTTGTACAATTAGAATTGGGATTCACTTTCTACTAAAGCATGTAATTGTATTGTATTGTATTTTGTTTACCACCAATGAAGGTGAGCAATACCTCTTGGGTATATCCCATATATAAACGGTCGTAATTTACGTAATTAACCTGGAAGATAGACCCAGAAACCCCTCCAGAAACCCCTCCTTGAAGGAGCCCTGTGTTCTTTTATGTGCACTTATACATAGACATACAAGTACACACCGCAGCCTTTTGTACGAGTTGCGGACCACTCAGTCAAACACCCTGAAGTACTTCACGCAAACAAGCAAATTTTTTAGTCTTGCCTGAACCGGGGATCGAATCCGGGACCTATTGCGTAAGAGGTACCTGCGCTACCGCTGAGCTACACAGGTGGACATCTTGGAAGTCATTATTATTACGAACGTCAATTTCTGAATAAAATTCCTGGTATGAATTAGAAAAATAATTAATCCATTTTTATACAAGGCACTGAATAAAATATCTGTGGTGAATTAATATTAAAAACAATCACTCTGCGTTTTCACAGATACTTGATAAAAAGATATCCATTTACTTTGTTTGAATTTCAGTTTTGGCTAAAATCAATGCAAAACATACAGTATATCACGTTTGTTAAGTTGGTTGGAATAGGCGGTCTAAGTCATACAAGGGGATTTTTACATGCTATGCTTGCAAAATTCCTCCTACTAGTTGCAACTTCAAATGTTATTTTGATAGATTCCTGGAGAAGTTACAAACGGATAATGGAGGAGAGTGAAGAGGCGATCAGTTTTGTTCCCATCACCACCAACCTCATAGATCTGATCTGGACAGTGAATAGACCAGCCCAACCAGCAAACAGACTGCTAATAATGAACATGACCTACACAGGTAAACCTTATTGAAACAACTCTATCAATAGCTAGGAAGATCAAGCTACACGTTTTTGAGAGAACTCACACGTGAACGTGTAATCATGACCCATAGGAATTTTAATATTCATGATCATAGCTTTTAGGCCAAAATAAAGATGGCAGCAGAAGCAGATAGAATTCTTATACTTTTATCGCCCTTAGCCTATGTTTATTACTTTGATGATTGCTGTTGTATACTTTTCCCCTCTGATAAAATGATTATAGTATTACCAGGATTTGTATCTTTTACCACACCATTGCTTATGGCCAGAGAAAGTTCTTTTTGGCATCACGCTCAATAAATGTAAGCTGATTTATTTATGTATCTAACTAATTAACATCTTGATATGCTAGGAACAATACTTTTGAATAAACTATTTCGTAATAATTTGTACTATTTTGTTATGTATCACCACTCAGGAAGGGCATGGTCTAACAAAGTAGAAGAGCTACAGTCCAAGATGACAACAGCTGGAGCAGATGCGCTTGTTCTTTCCAAACTTGATGAAAATGCATGTAAGTAGACCAGAGTACAATCATCTCGAACTGAAAGTTCATGTATATGCTTTTGATATGGAGTAATTAAACAATTTTCCAATAGTTTTAGCAGCTAATGTCAGTAAACATGCACACCTCCCATTTTTCATTTTCACAAAGCGCATGGAAAAAAACATGTAGTGAACATGAGCAGCTAATATATAAACATATATAATATATTATTAGAGTGCACTGCCATTCTTTATTACATTATATCGTTAAACTTTGTATTATTTGTAGGGCTGTTCAACCTAAGAGGATCTGACATAGCATATAATCCCGTGTTCTTTTCGTACCATTGTTACATTATCAATGTCGTAAAACTTTGTATTATTTGTAGGGCTGTTCAACCTAAGAGGATCTGACATAGCATACAATCCCGTGTTCTTTTCGTATACCATTGTTACATTATCAATGTCGTAAAACTATGTATTATTTGTAGGGCTGTTCAACCTAAGAGGATCTGACATAGCATACAATCCCGTGTTCTTTTCGTATACCATTGTTACATTATCAATTTCGTAAAACTTTGTATTATTTGTAGGGCTGTTCAACCTGAGAGGATCTGACATAGCATACAATCCCGTGTTCTTTTCGTATACCATTGTTACATTATCAAATGAGCCTGAGAGGATCTAACATACATGGTAGTATGCAATCCCGTGTTCTTTTCGTATTCCATTGTTACATTATCAATGTCGTAAAACTATGTATTATTTGTAGGGCTGTTCAACCTGAGAGGATCTGACATAGCATACAATCCCGTGTTCTTTTCGTATACCATTGTTACATTATCAATGTCGTAAAACTATGTATTATTTGTAGGGCTGTTCAACCTAAGAGGATCTGACATAGCATACAATCCCGTGTTCTTTTCGTACCATTGTTACATTATCAATGTCGTAAAACTATGTATTATTTGTAGGGCTGTTCAACCTAAGAGGATCTGACATAGCATATAATCCCGTGTTCTTTTCGTACCATTGTTACATTATCAATGTCGTAAAACTTTGTATTATTTGTAGGGCTGTTCAACCTAAGAGGATCTGACATAGCATATAATCCCGTGTTCTTTTCGTATACCATTGTTACATTATCAATGTCGTAAAACTATGTATTATTTGTAGGGCTGTTCAACCTAAGAGGATCTGACATAGCATACAATCCCGTGTTCTTTTCGTACCATTGTTACATTATCAATGTCGTAAAACTATGTATTATTTGTAGGGCTGTTCAACCTAAGAGGATCTGACATAGCATACAATCCCGTGTTCTTTTCGTATACCATTGTTAGGAAGACTGGAAATCCAATGTAAGCAATTTAGTTCAAATTTAGGGATGATTTTTGTTTCATTGTTGATTTAATGAAAAAGTGGGGAAATAGTTATTTTAAAGTCGCGAGGCTTTTTTGTGGAACATATATAAGCTGATGTACCTCTTGTTCTAGACTATACTAAAAAATTAAGGAAACATGAATCTTAGAAATATAATGGGACATAATATGAAGTTAAGGACAATGTAAACATTTTCATTTTATCAGTAATCTATTTATCTTATTGTTTAGGTTCTACATAATGAAGAAAAGCGAGAGATTGGGACAAGAGGGTATGACGAATCACCTGAACACGGGCAATGATGGGTCATGTACCGGAAAGACTGGCCTCTGCGTTGAGGTATGTTACACCGCCCTTCAAAAGTTTGCCAATCAGTTGTCTCCACGGGAACCACTTGTTTAATTCATCAATTTAGAATAACTGTCCCTCAGATTGTACTGGGCAACAAAATTAGCTTCTAGAATAACCAAGCGTCTTTAAAAACAAGCTATTTGTGGGTGATTTCCGGTTGTCAAACATTATAAGGGAGTTTAAGCTTGCAATGTTTTTCACAACCTAAACGTGAACGGAACATATTTAAGTGATGCATTTGTACGGGCGATTGGTCATACGTATAGGTTGGTGTTTCGATTTTATCTGCAAGCTTAAACTCCCTACTGACAACGGTGTAAACTTTTTCCTCTTGGTTTAAGTTAACTGTTTTACAGCTCGATGACTATATTGTTATAAGTGTCGTGTTTGTTCTTTAAACTTTGACAATCTGAGGAAAAAAACAAAAATACAATGTTTTAACTTTTGAAAGGACGTGAATTATCCATATCTGATGTTATATAATTTGTTGCAGACAAACTTGATTTCGAAAATTGTTTATCAAATTTGAAAATTTAATTCTTTTTGAAAATGTGCACGTGACTTTTAGTTCGGGGAGATTCCCAATAGACCCCATGTTACAGAATAACAAAAAGTGAAATATCTTGTCTTGTATTGGACATATAATATTTCCTTTTACTTGGCATATTTTAATTTGCTTACTATTAGATATGAAAGGGCGATATGGAAATTGAACCGCTAAAACTGATGAATATTTTAGTTAAAGGGAACTTTCTACTTTACCCGCCATGCTATATGACCCGAATGAGCCACCTGGTGGTGGAACTGGTAACTACTCACTTGCATCTGAGTTATTGTACTTCTTTGGTAGGAAATAACAGTAATATTAGGAGTTACATGCATGTATGTCTTCACTTTCGTTTATCTACAATTCTGCGCTAGATTTAAGCAACTATTTTTATGACATCGTATGATCAAGGGGAAATGTAAAAATTCTCAAAAAGTCTACGATTTATCTCAAAGACACCAGGATGCTTGAAAGATGGCATTGTGGTATGGGTATGTCTTTTTATCTCTTTTTTTCTTCGACAACCGAGTAATTAATCTACACGTACAATCCTTTGATTCACGTACAATCCTATGATTCGAGTCATTCTATGGACATGACATGTATGGTTTGTTTCAAGCTAGTGCAAAGTCGCTAGAAGTGCAAATATAAATAAATTATTTACGTTTATTTTATATTTTGGACCAATAATGCTTGTTTCCGTGGATCAGTAAACAGTAAAAGAAAATAAGATATAATTGAAATATTGATATGTTGATTGAGAGAACATATTTGCATCTGTTTATTTTTTCATATGGATAATTTCTTATCCTCAGGAACATTTAACAGAATGACTACCAGCTAGCATCGCGATAGCCGCGCCCCCTTTGTCTTTTTCCTTCCTTCTCTCGCAAACGGCAGATAAGAGGGGCTCTGGCATACCAGAATGACCAGCTAGGGATAAAAGCTGTATATGTAGTGCCGACAATTTGTCGTTGTCCTGTCTCTTATTTCCGGTATTAATACATTAAATAATAATAATAACTAGATTTGTGAAATTGAACAAGTTCAATTTAAGACTCCAGATTTATTTGACCTAGATAGATCAGTAAAGAGCTGAGTAAGTAACTGAGTAATTAGCTGAGTAAGTACCTTAGTAGTAGTTGAGTAAGTAGCTGAGTAAGTAACTGAGTAAAAAGCTGAGTAGGTAGCTGAGTAAGTACCTGAGTTAGTAGCTGAGTAAGTTGCTAAGGAAGTAATAACTAATTAAGTAATTGAGTAAGTAGTCAAATAAGTAGCTGAATAGGTAGAGAGGTAAAGTAGGGTATGCAGGAATTTTTGAAAGTATATTTGATCAATCTGCATCGTGAATACTGGCAAGTGCGAATTTCAAACTTCAAAATGGCGTAGAATCTAAACCGGGGGTCGGATTGCAATTTTAATTCCAGATCCAGATTCCTGAGGAAATTCTACCCCTAATTCATAACCCATACTTTAAAATTGGAGAACTTTTTATTTTGACCTACATTTTGGACACCATATCTCAAAAGTGGGTCAAAAAAATTATTGACGGCAAAATGTTAACATTATTAGCACACTCTTTGCTACAAGTTTCCAAAATTTCGTAGAATATCATTGAAGTGTAGTGTCAGAATCGCAAAATAAAACAAGAACACAAATGTGTACAATATGTCCCCACCTATGGGTGATCCCGTCAAATGGTTATCCTAAAAATGAGTAGATAAGACTTTACCGACACAATAAGAAAATATGTAAACAAGACTTTACAGACAAGATTTGAGGACAGAAAATCCAAAATGGCTGCCTTGACATTTATCCAGAATGCCAAAAACTAATCTGTTCTAGATTTTCATACTAAGAATCATCCCTAAAAATTTGAAATTGATCTACCGAACAGTTCACCTGGAAATGTGTAGACAAGACTTTACAGACGAGATTTTAGGACAGAAAATCCAAAATGGCTGCCTTGACATTTACCCAGAATGCCCAAAAACTAATCAGTTCTAGATTTTCATACTAAGAATCATCCCTGAAAATTTGAAATTGATCTACCAAACGGTCCACCTAAAATCGCGTAGACAAGACTTTACGGGCAAGATTTTAAGACGGAAAATCCAAAATGGCTGCCTTGACATTTATCCAGAATGCCAAAAAACTAATCAGATCTAGATTTTCATACTGAGAATCATCCCTGAAAATTTGAAATTGATCTACCAAACGGTTCACCTGAAAATGCGTAGACAAGACTTTACAGACAAGATTTTAGGACGGAAAATCCAAAATGGCTGCCTTGACATTTACCCAGAATGCCCAAAAACTAATCAGATCTAGATTCTCATACTAAGAATCATCCCTGAAAATTTGAAATTGATCTACCAAACGGTTCACCTGAAAACGCGTAGACAAGACTTTACAGACAAGATTTTAGGACGGAAGAATCCAAAATGGCCGACAATAAAAAAGTGATTATGAGTTTTTGCTGAAATCTTTTTACAAAATTATCACATATAACTACTGTTAACAATAACATAGGCTTTTACAACAAAGTACACCTGAAATTATTTATAAAGCTACTAAAAAGTTAAAGTATGAAAACTGAAAAACACCATTCAATATGATACAAAGTATTATCGTGCGCTAACTTTTCTTAGAACATTCGAAATGGCTGACATGACTGAGCTAACAGGTCCAAAACCTAATCAGATCTAGAATGAAGTGAGCTGAACAAGATGTTAAAGTTTTAAAAGCAACTGTGAAGCCGTTTTTCTTAAAGTTTGCAGACAAGGATTTTAGCATTTGACTTCAAAATGGCCGACAGGAAGTAGGTATCGAGTTAATTTTTTTTCATCCACATCTGTATGCACTCATAAGTTATCCCTGAAAATTTGAAGGTGATATCTGTAGCGGTTTTGGAGAAAACAGCCGGACGTACGGACGGACAGACAGACGGACAGACAGACGGACGGACAGACGGACGCGCCTAGGCCGACAATATGGCCCCACACTATGTGGTGGGGACATAAAAAAAACTATGAATTTGACCTAGATTTTGAACTAGGTATTTTGGTGTCCAAACTTTGAAGGAAAGTAGCTTTTGAGGTCCCCTTCTTCTATGGGCTTTCATTATGTTTAGCTGTACTCATTCTATATCTCGTATTTTTATACTTCAAAAAATTATTCGGTCCCATTGATTTAACATGGGGCACCAAATTTAGCGATTTTTGAGATTTCAAAACGCCATAACTTCAGAACAAGTAGTCGGATCGAAAATTGGTTTGCAGATCTAGATTTCTGAGAAAATTCTACCCTTAATTCATAACTCATACGTTAAATTTGGAAAACTTTTAACTTTGGCCTACTTTTCGGACACCATATCTCAAAAGTGGGTCAAAATACTTTCTGACGGCAAAACGCTAACACTATAAGCATACTCTTTGCTACCTGTATACAAAATTTTAAAGCAAATCATTTAAATATAGTGTCAGAATCGCAAAAATAAGGGAAAACTATAAATTTGACCTAGATTTTGACCTAGGCATTTTGGTGTCCAAATTTTGGAGCTAAGTAGCCTTCGAGGTCCCCTTCTTTAATAGGCTTTCATTATATTAAGCTGTACTCAGTCTATATCTCGTATTTTACACTTCAAAAAAATCTTTTTTCCCATTGACATAACATGGGGCAGCAAATTTAGCGATTTTTGAGCTTTCAAAACACCATAACTTCCGAACAGGAGGTCGAATCAAAATTTGATTTGCAGATTCGGATTTCTGATAAAATTCTACCCCTTATTCATAACTCATACGTTACATTTGAAGATTTTTTTATTTTGACCTACTTTTGGGACACCATATCTCAAAAGTGGGTCAAAATACTTTTTGACGGCAAAAGGCTAACGCTATTAGCACACTCTTGGCTACATGTATACACAATTTCGAAGAATATAATTAAAGTGTAGTGTCAGAATCGCAAAAATAAGGAAAAGCTTTGAATTTGACCTAGATTTTGACCTAGGCATTTTGTTGTCCAAATTTTCAAAATTAGAAGGTTTTGAGGTCCCCTTCTTTTATGGGCTTCCATTATGTTTAGCTGTACTTAGTCTATATCTCGGATTTTACACTTCTAAAAAATATTTTTTCCCATTGACATAACATGGGGCACCAAATTTAGCGATTTTTGAGCTTTCAAAACGCCATAACTTCCGAACCGGAAGTCGGATCGAAATTTGGTTTGCAGATTTGGATTCCACAGAAAATTTTATTCTTAATTCATAGCTCATACGTTAAATTTGGAAACTTTTTATTTTGACCTACTTTTCGGACACGCCATAACTTCCAAACCGAAAGTCGGATCGAAATTTGGTTTGCAGATTCGGATTCCTGAGAAAATTCTATACTTAATTCATAACTCAAACGTCAAATTTTGAGAATTTTTTATTTTGACC